TATAGAAATAAAAACAAAATGATAATTTTATTCGAAATATTTAGATTGAAGAATATCAAACTGTACGTCAAAAACTTTCATCTGATATGGCTGAACATGCAAGTATTATACGAAATTTTTTAATACGTGCTGAAGATGCTCGTTTAATTGGTGATATGTAAGTAAATTAAAATAATATAAATATTTCATGAACAATAAATCATTAAATAATTCTCTTACAACAAAGAATTCAACTGTCATCAAGCTTTTATGTATTTATAAAAGAAAAATTTCGTATTTAGTTCTATAAAACATAATGAATTGATGAATGTTTGAGAGTAATATGACATATATATATTTTAACGCTTTAAAGAATGGTGGTATATACATTGTACCACTTATTTTCTCATAAAGAAAATGTTTGCACCCCATTAAACTCTTATGACCTGTCAGGTAAAAGGTCATTCCATCTGTCATGTCATGCATATTTTTTCTCACTTTCTTCCTGTCATATAGATCCGTTTCAGATGTTCTCTTTTCTTTCTGCTAATATATATCAACGTCATGATCATTTCCTTTCTTTCATTTTTTTTGATATATTATCATAGACTTTTTATGTAATCATTTTGAACTGAATACAATAAATTGATTAATGAAATACTATTCAATTGCAAAAAAAAAAAGAAATTCCGCCCCCAAAGGATTAAAGTGATATTTTATTAAAAGTGATTGCATGACTTGAAAATAAAACAAAAAGAAACTTGTTGACCTACGCCTTATGAATAATATTCAATTTTTAATAATTGATAAGCTACTATTATTTCTATTACATAGAACAATGTAGAACAGATGTTGACATATAAATTTGTTGAATTAACAACTCTCAAAGTTTCAAGTTCAAACTAGACTCATACGACCTTAAAATCATATGAAAAAAAAAGATTCAGTTTCTTAAGTAATTGAACGACATTGAAAGTTTTATAGTTGATGTGAATCTTTGAGTTGTACTTTAGTATTAATTTTCGTTGAAGTGATAATGAAATTTTTAGAAATGTTGCCTCAAAATATCAATATCAGCTCGATGCTAATCATAGAGAATATCATTTGCCTTAATAAATTCATATATTCAGATGTAATTTAGATTACTTCATGTAATAGAAAAAATACTAGTTTATTAACCTTTTGGTGATCGGCAATGCGCATATACGCGTCATGAACTTTATCATCACTTGAAACTAATATAATCAAACTTATAATGCATATTTTTTCTGAAACATTTGCGTAAAAGCAAAAATCAAACCGTAGGAATTTTCCATATTATCATTTTGATACAATTCATGTTAGACTCATGCGTTACGAAATGAAAAAAATATGTGGTGTAAAACCACTTTATTTTATATGCATGTATCTTTTATCAGTAACCAAAGGGTTAATTGTTAAAAGCTGAACATTATTCATAAGATGTAGGTCAACAATTTCCTTTTTTTTTGTGTTTTCAAGCCATACAATTACTTTTGATAAAATATCACTTTAAAATATATGTAACTTTGCTTTCAGTTATTCTTCAATCCATTATGTATCCATAGTTCTCTTTATTTTAATTTAAATATGGAATTCTTTTTGTTTAATATGTAAAAGTTTGATGAAAATGGAAAAGATTTGAAAAAAGAATTATTAATGATTTATTTTTAATGAAAAATCTATTAATTTTAGATTTAATAATAAAAATCTTATTTTTATAATTTAGATCAATTATGAAACAACATTATATTGATTTACTTAATTTAAATCATGATTTAATTAATGGTTATCAAATTCGATGTACAAATCATGAAGAATTAATGAAAAATTTACGATATCTTAATCAGATAATACAAAAAGCTGGAAATTTAAGAAGTAAGTTATATTTTGAGATTAAAAATTCAAATAAATGATTTTATTTATTTGTAGTTGGAAAATATAAGACAAATACAATTAAACATTGTCGTGCAGCAATTAAAGAAAATAATGCACAATTATTAATTAAATCGATTAAAACTGGAAATGTTTAATATACTCAATTGCTCTATTATTTCTCTTTTGAATTTCATTTGTTCGTCATAATAAAATAGATCATGGATTTTTTTTGTATATTTTTTTTTATTTTAATAAAAATCCAAGTTTTATACAAAATCTTTCTTATCTGATGATATGTCTTCATTGACAAACAAAATAAAAACATACGAACATCATTTCGTAAAATAAGTTGAAAACTTAAACATTTACTGTATATTGTAACAGTAAACGAGATAGAATTCTTCTCGTTTTTTTTAGCAAATTGCTTTACTTTATATCTGATGTCACGATATATTTGAAATATCATGGATTAACATATGTAACGTAGATAGAGGTATATAGTCAATTTAAACAGAAGTATAAACGAGACTGGAAACAATATGAATTGTACAAAAATAAAATTGAATTTAAACGTCAAATAAAAAAATAACGTTCATATGAATAGGGGAAAAAAAATCTATCAATTAAACATTGATTAAGTGAATTCAACATGTAACTTCATCTTCATAGTTTATTTATTCAAAAATATCAGCTTTCTGTGTTATATGTTTATTCTGTCAGATTAGAAGTACTAAATCTGATATGCTTCTATTTTTGCTCAAAATTGATTCTACATCACACGCAGATATATAAGGATATATTACACTTAAAAGTCTTGTACTTCATCCTTTTCAAAGAGAAATTATTCAACCATGTTTGCGTATGGTGTACGATCAATTTTGAACGAAATGGAACCATATTATTTTTTAGTCTTTAGATTCTAGTATAGTAAATACATGAAATAGTGAGCTGATATTTTGAATAGAGAAACTATGAAAATAGGACTACACTTTGACGTAAATCGCAACTCTATATGTTGAAACCATCTTGAGATATTAGAAAAACAAGGGGATCGATTAGATATATGATCAATTTAGAGTGCCACTTTATATTTCACATGTTGGTATTACTAAAACATTAGTCTTATTCAAATCGATTAGATTCAGTGTTATCTGAATTCTGAAGATTTGAGTACAAATAATGGAAATATTCGTGAGACAAAAAAATTAATTCCAAGAACATGTTCTATTTATATTGCAAATTCAAATCACTGTGTAAACAGATAATCAAAGCGAATAGAGGCGTAAGTCAATACATTGATTGGCGGTGACAACTGAAATTTTTTAATGAATTTTTGAAAAATTTTCTTAATTTCAAGAAATCTTGAAATGAACAAGAGAAAAAACAATAGTAGAGAACTTATTGACAAGAAACCAGACAATAAGATCTCCAAAAACTGATTTGGGATGTCGAAAAGTTTCAAAAAAGCCAACCTCTATTTTTGTGTGGTGGTCATGGTGGCTCAACCGATCGGTTTACGCCTATAAGTGCAAATAAAAGCAAATGAAACATTTAAAATAAACTTTCAGTTCAATATTTTACAGACCAACGTCATATGTACTCTTATCCATATTTTAAAATTTATCATATAATCACTTTCTAGTTTCGACTGTTGATACTTTATTGCAGATAGATAATATAGAAAGCAATTGATTAATAAAATACAACAGCCATATAAATAGATTGTCTATCACATTTCAAAATATTTAGTAATTAAAAAATAGAATTCGTCTAAATATCAATAGTTCTATGGTGAATATTGAGATAAAAGTAAATAAATTGGTGATAATTTATTACCTATACAACAAGATCTATATTGCAGGAAGGCCAAATTTTTGACTCGGTTCTTAATTCCCGTGGCTTTTCGGATCAAGCCCAAGTTGGCGTCATTACTAATCATAAAAAGTCTTATTTTTATGAATAGTTGGAACATTCCGTAGTGTTTAGCGGTATGTAGTTTAATTAAAATGTAATACTCAGGAATATGACGTAGTTCTCTGTAGAATGATATAGCACTAAGCATTACATTTTAATGAAAAAGCATATCACTAAACACTACGAGATGTTCCAACTATTCATAGAAATAAAGCTTTTTATGATGATTAATGAGGTAAATTTCGACCCTGTCCGAAATTTTGTAAACTCTATTGCGTTTCGTTCAAATAAAAAATCCTTCAAAAAAAACCGTTTCAGTAAATAATAATCTAGTAATGTGTTTTTTTTCAATGATTTATTCAAAAGCATCGTGCATTTCTATTGCATCTTTTGAATCATGAAAGAGAATGAATGCAATATGGCAAAGTTACCCACATGCCGTTTGCTTGAATAAAGCACTGCCGCAAACCTTATATGTTCTAAGAGAAAATAAAAAGATTATTATTTTCTAAATGCCTCGAAAAAACATTAAAAAAATGGCTGCCAATAAAATTATTATATTCTGAAAGAAATCGTTTTCATATTGACGAACTTCAAAAACAAAAAAAAAACTTCATTCACATTATTTACTATATGAATGTCGATTACGTTCATAAATGCATTTGAGTAAAAAATACGATTTTAATAAAACAAATTTGAATAAGCGAAAAAAAATTGAAAAGGATATCATAGGATATAGCAGCAATATTTACATCTCTCTTTTCGTTTTGCTTGCCTTTGCGTATGAAGATACAATGTTTGGTTGTTTTCAATCAACAGATTTATGTTTTTATAGAGCATAAAATTCTCTATCAATTTTGTTTAAGAATGATTGTTTTTTTCTAGGCACTTTCAAAAGTTGAAAAAGATAGAACAATAGAGTGCCTCGTTCTTAATATGCTATTTGTTATTATCGAAGTTAAATATTACTTTATCAGTAATATTTTGGAACGTATTGGTCTAATGTCAATAAGATCATACCGTTTACTAAGCATTGAGATAAGCTATGAGAATATTCTCAGCTGATTTATTAATCATCATTGTCCGTTGTATATATATATCAACTGAAAATTTCATTCCATTATATTAACATACTCTTCGAATTAATCGTCGATTTTATAACCAAAATGCAACATTGGACAGCTATCATCCTAGTTTCTGCCATTATTCTAATGGCACAATCATCTTATGGTTAATATAATTTGAATTAAATTATTCAAGAAGAATATTTATGTTAGGAGTTTTTGTTTTTTAGGTTTTCTTGTTGCGAGCCCTCCTGCTTGGCCAGGTAGTTTTTATTCTACTGCTAAATGTGATAGAAATCGATGTTGTTGTTTTGATGGTTTGATTACGTTGTCACGTGTTGGTTCCAAGCAACTTCGTCTTGTTACACAAGTTAATGGTGCTGGATGTCCACCAAATCGTTATATTGATACAACAATAAATCTTCCAACATCATTCGGCACTGTTATTAATCTTTTTGGTGGTTTGGTCGATGTTAAGTTGAGTTCTGATAGTCGTATCATTGATGTTTTTAACCAAGCTGCTCCACTATGTAGTGGAAGTGCTGTTCGATCATAGAATATTTATTAATAAATAATGAAATTGCTTCATTGATCTATATGTCTATAGTTATCTGAATAAAGAAGATGATTATACTAACTTAAGTTTTATATCATTCAGTGAAAATGAACATAACTTGTTTGATTACATATCAGCATATTTTTTTTTTGATTGTTGAAATATCTGTATGAGGCTCAACGAGTTGCTGCTTTAACGAATATTCTATTCTTTTTATAATTAATGCGAATGAATAGGTCGTGTTTTTATATCATAGACACATCTTACAAATCCTTATTTTAAAAGAAAGAATTTCATACCAGTGCAACACGAAACAAAATCTACTCTTGGCAATGTTTGTCTCATATGGGATAAGTATTAATAAAGAATAATAGTTGATATTTTGTTTTTTTACACGATGTAACACATGAAATCAAAAAGATTATTTTCACTTATGATTCATTTCTACATTCAATTCGACACGGTATAGCATGTCTATAACAAATATCTTGAATGTCTATAATGCTGTTATCGAAAGTGGAGATAGTTAGAACTTTCACATATAAATCATTTGAATGTATTCTAATCATCATATTTACAGGAGGCAAGTACAATTTTATATGTGCATTTGATTTCTATCGGCTATTACGAACTCAGCAATTTATTAGAAGATATCAAAATCTCAGATAAGATTGATTAATTTCTTTCTTTAATAACAACTAAATATCTCAAAACAAAACTATAATATCTTGAAATAAAATTAATCACAGTCCCTATCAGCAATTGATATATTGATTGTAAAAAACAATTTAACGACGAATAGATCCACATTAAAATATAAAATCCATATTTTTCTTTCACGGTAAGATTGAAGAGCAAATCAAATTCTTCTTATATGTTGCATTTTGAATAAGTGTAGAAAAAGGATAGAAAATACAGGATATTGAACACTCTACTACTGTAAATGATAGTATCGATTTAATAATCAATGTTCACATTCAAGTTCATTATTTATAAATCGTGTTTGTAAGTTCTCATCAAAAAATATAAGTATGGGATTAAAAAGATTTTTTTTTTTCCTAAGGTAAAAAAATGTATTGTTTGTTTTTTATTATATTATTTATTCAATTCAGTTGATCAAAAATGAATGAAATCAAAGACTTAAGAATTCAATTGTGAATATTATTTTATTAGGTAAATAAATACTTGAATATAACATTGCCTATATTTCCATATGTTCTGATTATATTTTTGTGCATACAAAATTTACTATTTTTTCCTTTGTTATTATTTAATAATATCTTTGATACTGATTTTAATATTTCTATAATTATAAATTTATCTAATATAGTAATATATAATCTTTGAAAATGTTTATTTGATTTTGTTCATATATATATGAATACTGTTGATTTAGTTTGAACATTTTAATGTTCAGTGACTTTTACCATATTTCAATAATTAAATTAATTAATGCGATAAAAATATTGTCAGATATTTTTTTTTATATATTTAACTTTTAAAACATTGTACCTGAATGACCTGAAAATTTACGTTCTAAAAATAAAAATGAAAAAAAACAATATATCAAAACTCATTTGACTTTCATACGATGAAGAAGACTACGAAATGTTTAAATAAATTTTACATGTTAATTTTTTTTACTATAGAAGATATTAAATCCATATTATCTCATGAATTGCTATCGCAATTTTTCTTAATAAGAAGTTATATTATTTAATTAATCAAATCTGATTAGATGTGATGATATTTCTTCTTATATGTGCTTAAGTTCAAAATTCAAATTTTATTCATCATTTTCAAATTAATTTCTACTTAAAAGATTTAAAATTCATATTTTTTTTAATCGGAAAATTTCTAATATAAAAACACAAATATTGACATGGTGAATAGTTTTTTTTCTCAAATAATTCATATTTTTATGATGAAATCAAAAGAAAATAAGAAAGTCGAGTTGACATTTAGTTTATTTTATCTATTTTCATGTTTATATTTTTATGATAATTTTAATTCTGTAATCTAACTAAAACTTTTCATATTATTAAATAGTTTTTGATAACAAATTAATGTTTGTTATAAAAATGTAAAAGTGATTTGAATTGAATAGTAAAAAGAAAAAAAAAATATATTTTTTATCTGAGCTTGAAAATTTCATTATTAAGTCAATTCGATTATGATTAAGTAATAATTTTAATCAAATTTCATACGATAATGAAGAAATAAATCATGATCTTTTGCTGTTCTTTTCTGTTTTTTTGTTTTTCTACGCTTATTTCATTCGATAATAAAAGGAGAAAAATAAGAGAAAATAGACGACTGACAACTAATGTTGTCGTTTGCACAAAAAAATTTACTTTAAATAACAAATAAAACAATACTCAATCGATGTCTTGTTCCTTGACAACAAATAGACAATCAAAGTGCAAATTAATAAACAGTGAAAAAAAACAGAAGAATAATTATATGCAAGTCAACGAGTAACATTTTATTTTATTTTTTACTGATGCATCATCTTCAATCAAGAAAAAAAAAATGTCTAAATTATCAAATACTCAATTGATTTTATTGTGTTTGCTTAGTTGCAGCCCTGCATCTGCTAGATTGTATCAATATAATGAAATAATTTTATTTCGCCATACATCTACTATACATTTTTCTTTCGGTCGTCTTTCACTTACTCTTAATCTCATTCGTTATTTCGTTATTTGAATAAAAAAAATGAAAGTTTTCATTCCATTTACAGTATCGTAGAAACACATTGAATTTTTAGTGTCTGTTGTTGCCGTCGTCGTTATTGTTTGTTGATGTTATTGTTAAGTATAGTGCAATGACGATGTGTATATTAAGATACATGTAACTAATTGTGAAGTGTTTGTCGTTGTGCATAGAATATAGACAGTATTTTAACAAAGACAAGTAATGTATAAGCAGCAAAAAAAAAAACAAAAAGGTTTCTTCAACTTTTATTCAATTTATGTTTAATGTTGTTCATGGTTAAAATGTATTGAATTATATATCTGTTGGTTTCTGTTATTTTTGTTTTAGAAAAATTTTCAATATTTTCAAAATAAAATTATGACTGACTACAACGATAAAATACAAGCACCTCAATCAACAACATTCGAAACATTACCTATTCTTTCAACTCGTCCAGTAGCTGGTGATCCAAGTAAATCATTCTAGGTTTTTTTTTTTCAATGAACGTCTTTTATTTTATTATCTTCAGATGAGTCTGGACAAGTGGAACCCTATGCAAATGAATTAATAACAAATATCATAACAGATGCAAGTAGAGTAGCAAGTGCAAAACATCGTGCAAGTATTAGTAATACAGGATTGGATAATACCGATGAATTAAAGTAATAAAAATTAGAAAAGAATAATTATATTTCTTTATCAAAAATCAAAAAAAAAATAATAATAATAATTCTTTTCAAATTCTAGCTCTTCTCCAACATCGCACGAGATACATAAACCTGAATATTCAACAAGTAATGGTATTCATAATGGTAATGAATTTGATAATGAAGATATTCAAAAAAAAATGAATAATGTTATTCATGATATTCAATCAGGATCTGGTGACGATACAAATATTTCACGAAGATCAATAACATCAAATCATTTACAAGATGGTCAAATTAATCATTCTACACCAACTATTAATGATTCATCAACAGAAATAGATTTAACAAAAAAAAATCCAACAAATGAATCAACTTTAGTTGATCATCATAGAAGACAAGCAACACCAACAAATACAACAACATTTATTAATGGTTCTACTGATCAACATCAATTTGAACAAGAAAATCATACAAAAAATCTATCTGATGATGATTTTTTTGATAGAACAACAGGAACTGTTAATGATGATCAACAATCATCAAGTGCTATTAAACAAAATACTCTTGATGAAACAACACATTTTGGTACAACATCACCAAAATTACCATCTTCAAGAGTACAATCAGCAGCTAGTAAACGATCGGTTCATGCGCCACCCGATGAAGTAAATTCAATATTTCAATAAACACATATAAAACTTTTTATTTATTTATTTCTAGCCATCAACATCCAGTGATGAAAAACATGCTCAAATGAGTCCATTAAAATTACCAACTGATACTGGTAATGATACTGATCTTGATAATCAAGAAGTAGCAGCTGTTGTTCGACGTCCATCACGTGCTTTATCACCACTTAAACGTCCACGATCACCAATACCAAATGATTCACGTAAAGCATCAATTACTATGGAACCACTATCATCAACACATGTTAAAACAGATGATAATATAAATCATGATCATACAATAAGTTCAACTTTAAATAATAATGAATCAATTTCACCTATGGTATCAAATGATAATCAAGAAAATGCAGAAGAACAACAACAAAATGTTGAATCATCACCAACTACAATTATTTCATCAGCATCACGAAGAGACAGTATAAATAAAAATGATCAACAACAAATATCACCATCAACAAGTCAATCAAATAGTAGTCATCCACATCATTTATCAACAACAGATGAACATTTAAAACTTATTAAAACCGGTGAACAACTTCAAATTCCAACAGATGATTTTGATAATGAACGAATACATAGTCCACCACCACCACCATCACCATCTGGTAGTAAATCAATGGCATTAACTGATGCATCATTAGAAAATGATGTTGCTCAAAAAGAACAAGTTCATTCTCGACCATCAAGTGAAATAAATCGAAAAAGTCCAACAAAAAGCATGATTAGTACTGAAAAAGATATTGATGGAGAAGTTCTATTATCAAATAGTCCACGAGAAAATGATATTAATCAACAACAAACAGATATTACTTATCAAAAACCGGCAAGGTAAATAAATTTTCTTTTTCTTTTTCTTTTTATATTAAAGATTTATATAAATATTGAATTTGAAATTATTAGTCGACGTCAAAGTCAAATTATTGAACAAACAGAACATATTCCAAGTAGCCGTCGAACAAGTAAT